ACATAGCAGAAACCTACTAATAAAAAAATAAATCCAATTAACCAAAAATACAACAAAACGCAAAATACATTTTCTTCAAACTCCATGAACATCTCATTTACTTGTAACTGCACATGTTTTCTTTGACAAGTATTGTGTTACACTTGTGGGAGAATGTAGTACTATGTGCAGTTGATGAATAAACAGTATATTGCTCTCAAACAGGTAACACAGTTTCCTTGTCAGTTAAAGTACAGTATATGCTATGAACCTTACATAAAGATAGTGAAAGCAAAATCAATTCTCTACTTTGTTGTGGTACAGGATTAACCTGCTGGTCGTACGACAGTAGGAGGAGCTACTACATGGCTAGTGTTTATATTCACTACTGTCAACACTCATTTTTGACTCACACACATGATGGAAACAGCAGTGACCCTCCTGGCTCTGTTTTTCCTTCAGGTCTCCTCTTCAGTACCTGTAAGCCATCCGAGGAACTGGCTGAGACAATGCCGTGCTTCTGCCAACCTCTCCATCACAGCACTGGAGGTGCTGCCAGGTGGAGGCTGGGACAACCTCCGGAACATGGACATGGGTCGAGTCATGAACCTCAGCTACTTCCAGTGCCAGACCACTGAGGACGGGCTCTACCTCATTCCAGATGAAGTTTTTGTCATCCCCCAAAAACAGACAGGTGTGGAGACCAGCTCAGAGATCATCAGGTCCTGGCTTGAGCAGAAAAGCTCAACATCAGAAAGCATCAATGCAGACATATCCTTCACCAAGGTGCTGAATGGCAAATTTTCTAGTGAGAACAAAAGAATGAAAACACATCAGGTCAAAGAATCTTCAACCACATCCAAAGTGCAGGTAAGTTTAATGTTTGATGCATTTTTTAGATTAAATACATTTTCCATTTATAAAATCAATTCCACTGCCATCAATTTTTCCATTTTATTTGATAAAATGGGTCTTAATATTTTACTTCTTTACAATTCTATTAAGTTTAAAATTTAGTTTTAAAACATAATTATTATGTGAGTTAAACAAGAAGAAACTTTTTCAGCTGCAGAGAAAAAAATAGATGTCAAAGCGATTTTAATTGAAGTGAACAAAGAAAGTCACGTATTTAAATGCTATAAATGCCTCAATTCAAACAGTTAATAATATACTAACCCTTTCTTTTCAAGGTTCGTAACTTCATCTACACAGTTAAGGCTTATCCAGACTTCACTCTAGATGCACGATTTACTCAGCAAGTCAGAGACATCGCTGATGCAATTGAAAACAACCAGACTAAAAATGCGGACTATCTCTCAGAGATGATGGTGCGGGAATATGGAACTCATGTCATTAATAGTGTGGATGCTGGGGCGGCTTTGGTGCAGGAGGACTATCTCTGTTCCTCGTATGTATCAAACAATGAGTCAGAAAGTTCCTCTGTGAAAGCACAGGCTGGCTTAAACTTCTTTGATAAACTAAAGTCTGAAATTAGCAGTCAAAGTGCCCAACAGAGCTCTTTACTTCAAACATATCAGTCCAAAATTACATACTCTCTCATTAACAGCCATGGAGGTGCACCCTTTTATCCTGGAATCACTCTGCAGAAGTGGCAGGAAAGTACCAGAAACAACCTTGTTGCCATTGATCGTTCAGGATTTCCTCTGCACTATATTATAAACATGAACACTCTCCCTGATCTCTCATACATTACGATTGGAAAAGTTGCTCTTACGGTTAGTCAGGCCATACAGCGCTACTACGATATCAATTCTCGCCCTGGGTGTGTTGATACCAACTCCAAGAACTTCAACTTCCAGGCTAACATGGATGATAATTCCTGTGAAGGTCCAGCTACAAGCCTTAGTTTTGGTGGTGTCTACCAAGAGTGTTCTGAATTCTCTATATACAAAACTTCACTGTGTAGAGACCTGAGTCTGAACCAGGTAAACCCTGATACAGGTAGCTTCTCCTGCCGTGCACCTTACTCTGCAACCTTACTGAGAACAGAGACGAGATCGATGGGGGATTTCACTTCTGTTTCGGTCAGTACCTACTGGTGCTTTTTTAATGGACAGACTTCAGAAAACTCGGGGTATCTGTTTGGAGGTATATACAGCCCCTCTCTCCTAAACCCTCTTACAAAAACCAAAAGCTGCCCCCCAAATTTTATTCCACTAACATTTCTCTCAGATGGTGAGATGATCTGCGTGAGTAAAGACTATGAGACAGGTACCAGATTCTCAGTACCATTCGGAGGTTTCTTCAGCTGTCAGTCAACCAACCCACTGGCAAACAATCAACGCAGGTGCCCTCCCAAGTTCAGTCAGCACCTTGCTGCAATCAGTGATGGCTGTGAAATCCTTTACTGTGTGCAGTCTGAACTGTTCACAGGTGGAGAGCTCCAACCAATACGTCTGCCTCCGTTCACCAAACCTCCACTTATCAGCATGCAAGCCAACAACACAGTAATGGTGATGACTGAAGGAGAAAACAGCTGGGTGAGAGTGGGCCAGACCAAGAAGTGGAAACTTGCCAAACCAGAAGAAATAAATTGTTCAGGGCCTTAATCTTGAACTCAGTCATGCGTCTGGTGGAGAAACGGCAGGTGTAGCTTTTGGGGTGATGGGTATGATGCTTGTCATATTGGTAGTTTTCCTGGTGAAGAGGAGGGTGTCAGGGTTGACAACTAGGGGCTATGAGGAAACAGAAAGATGAGGCCTAAGAACAAAATATAGGTTAGTATTGGCACCAAGACACATAAATTCATCTGGTGCAACAAATTCAGCCTTTAACTTCTATTTCGATTATCCTCCTAGTCATACTTCCTACAGTACTGGAAAACATTAGAGAGCTTATATTTTGAACCATTGTGTGCATTATTGTAGTATGTAATAATCTGCATTTTGAACTCAAAAAACTAACAGCGATACTCTAGGGACAAATGGTTTTATAGCAGTCTATCTCTTAAAACAAACTGAGCCTTTAAAACAGAAAGCTGAAATTTCAAACTTTGTTGTTAAGTAATACTGCCATCTTAAGGCCAAGATGCACAATGCTAAGATTTTTTGTTGTTCTTACTGTACAATAAAGCATGATTCAAACACATAAGCCATTGTTTTATTGTGCATTTTTACATTTTTTTATTATGCATCTTAAGAAGATTAAAATAACTGAATTCAGTTCAATTTAATTTAATTCTGTCATAATTGTGCTGTGTGGAATGCGGAGTTCAGGACCAAATTTGCAGACTCACCTTTGTGACAGTGCTTTGGTGAGATTGGGAAGGAACAAGTCCCTTTCAACAGGACGAAACCTCTGGCAGAATCAGGCTCAGGCCATCTGTCACGATCAGTGTTGGGCAAGTTACTTTGAAAAAGTAATTAATTATAGTTACAAGTTACTTCTTCAAAAAAGTAATTTAGTTAGTAACTGAGATTCTAAAAGTAATTAAGTAAGTAACTATTGCGTTACTTTAGAAAAATGTTGAATCCTCTGTGTTGCAGGGTATAATTGGCCATTTTTAAACACTTTTGATTTTACCTCTACATTACACCTTTAAAAACTATTTACTTTGCCTTGTTTGGTATTATTCTTTTTAGCACAATTTCACATGTCTAAAGTTACAGTTAAGTTTTCCTTTTGACATACTGAATTAGCACAATTGATCTAAAATCAGACAAAAAACATAAAATCCGAGCAGAAAAAGTTATATTTTTTACTGTAACAACCAAAAACATGTTTAATGAATCGCATTTCATAACTTTAAATGCAAATATAAATTGTCAATTTTAAAATCCTATGCACAAGTTTTGAAAAGCCCTTTACCTTTTACCCTTTTTTTTTTTTAAAAAAAAAAATAACAATCAGCTGTTCTGCATTCAGTAAGATGGCACACAAATTATTTGTGCCACTCCAAAAAAAAATTTCTGTCCACTATAAAGGAGAAGATCACTGCCTGATGCCTGCAGGTCTGACAGCAGGATGTGTATCACTCCTGTTTTCTACCTGGAGACAGCAGTCACCTCACTGTTCTGACACACAACACAAAACTTTCCACTACACTACACACTAACTGCACAAGACAACACATTAACTACACACTCCAAACAGGCTAAACGTCACAAATCTTTCACATCTGAAAACTTGCTGCTTAAAACTGTAGCGCCCAGATTACTTACACAGGCAGCTACTTTCCAGAGTTATATAGTTTTCAACTCTATGTAATCCATTTCTTGGGAAGTGGTAGATTATCTTTTTTAGTCCCACAGTGTCAAACGAATTTATGGAAGCTGGTAAGTAGTAAAACAAACGAACAAACAAACAAACAAACAAACACAAAACTTTGGGCCATCCTTATCCATATGTCACAACATCGGGTTATTATCTCAAAATTCCTACTTAGTAGTCAAGTTTTTTTTTCAGAAGTTTGAGTTATTAAATTAAATTGTTGAGATTCTTGTGCAAAGTTTTCCCTTTCCCTATTTTCTATAGTATTCCGCATTGATTAAAAAAAGAATAGATAAAGAAACCGGTTAGATACTCATATAAATGTGAAAAAAGGAAAATCGACAGGAAGTGACACCCATAAGAACTCACCAATACTAAGAAGAGTGAGGCTTCATGGGCGTATCACAACACGGTTTCCGCTTATGATGAGATGATGATGAGATAGCCTTTATTTGTCAGTTGCAGGTCTTTTGCCCACAACCGAGATGACAGACCTTGCCGACCGTACATACAATACACAAACATCACATTGGGGAGACAGGTCAGGCTAGGTAGTGAGAAAAAAAACATCGAAATGTGTAACACAAAAGGATAATACAGGAATGCACAGATATCAACACACCATAGCACAATAAACACAGACAAGCAACATGGGAAAGAGTTCCAGTGTGTACATCTGATCTGGGACCGCTGCAATCTTTTGACTGCGCCTCCAACTGACC